GTCTTGTCTGGTGTGCTGCTTTGGTGGTTCCCGCTGTCCGGTTGGCATCAGCTTGGGCAGCTATGGCATGGCCAGTCCCGTATGGGGAGTACGGGCCCCGCCCTCTCCAGGCTGCAGTTCTGTCCTGAGCCTGCTGGTTTCTTTCTGTCTGCCAAGCCATGTTTTCTTCACTCATTATATTGCTTTTTTAAAGAAAGTTTTATTTATTTATGCATACTGAACTGGGTTACAGTCCAAGGTGTGGGGGAAAGAGGATTCTCCAGAGACAGAGTAGAGTGCTGAACACAGGGATTCACTGAAATACAAGCTAAGGGGAGCAGCCGGCAGGTCAGGAGAGGTCTATGTACCATATGGGTCACCTCTGGGGCTGGGGGTCGAGCTCCTGCTACAGTGGCTCAGATAGCTTCTTAGTGCTGTGCTTTAACTCACTGCACTACAGGGAGGGCTCTTGTTAAATTGCTTTTGATGCTGAGCATCCACCCTGCCTTAAATTAAGCGTCTCCAAAACTGGGGACACATAGGTAAAAGGGGTTGCAAGGAAACTGAGCTTCTAATCTGGAAAGGACCCTTTATGGAGAGCACATTTTCCCCAGCCAAAGAGTCTCCACAAAGCCCCCTTCATGTCCCTGTTCCGCAGACTGTAGATGAAGGGGTTCAGCATGGGGGTGACCATCGTGTATATAACAGATACAACCACTCCAGTGTCTGCTGAGTAGGAGGATGAGGGCTGGAAGTACACTAGGAATATTGTGCCATAGAACAGAGTGAGGACTGATAGGTGCGAGCCACAGGTAGAGAAGACTTTGTGCTTCCCGCCAGTGGAGGGGATCCTGAGGATGGTGCAGATGATGTGGGCATAGGACACCAGGACACAGGTGAGAGGGATTGTGCCTGAGAGGACGGCTTCAGTTAACATCGTTACCTGAAAATTGTGGATGTCTGAACAGGCGAGTTTGAGGAGCGGGGGGACATCACAGAAGAAGTGTGGGATGGAGCGGGAGGCACAGAAGGAGAACTGAGACATGAGGAGAGTGAGAGAGAAGGCCAGCAGGTGGGCACAGAGCC